GCACACTTTGGCCCTACTCCAGAGAAGGTCCATCTCGGGCGTGGCTTGGCACATGTCGGCACATTTAAGCTGATAATAGAAATTGCAAATCAGCGTGGCATGGTTTGATTCGGCGTGGCCAAAAGTGCCAAAGGAAAAGCTCTACTATAGGGACACAAAATCAAACTCCACTCATCACCAACAGGGTTTTCTTTACAGTAAGAACTTTCCTCCTCCACACCCAGATAAGGCAGGGTGTCATAATGTGACATGGGTGAAACTGAAGATTATTTTTTATTATTGATTAAACAACCAATAATTTTTCTACAAATCATTCAGTCCATGATTGAAAAAAAAAACACAGCTATAGCTAATTATAAGTAATACATAAAACTAAAACTAATATTTGGTGTTTGTAATTGATAACTGACAATGATGAAATTTGATTACCTTCCTGTCAAGCAACTAATAATGTCATCATAAATAATTCACTGTTCCAGCATAAGTTAAAAGCCCTCAGATAGGTGCAAGGGCACAGCATCTGTCCTCTGGCAGACATTGTATGCCTACAAAATCCCTACGCATCTTCCTGATGAAGGCAACATTTCATTTCCATCCAGAAATAAGTCAAGTGTATCGGCCTGCCAATCTTTTCCTCACTTTCACACACACTCTATTCCAATACCTATACCTATACGAGCTAAAAATGCTAAGTCACATAATAGCTCGTCTTACAGCAGTTGTTATGTTGATTTTCTGTAACAAACTGAGTTCACTGTCCACTGTGTGTCCCACTTTTATACTAAAACCAGGCTGGATGGATATGCTGACACCTCCCATAAGTTGGAGGGGCTTAAGAGGGGGTGATTCAAGCTCTACAAAGCCTGAGGAACAAACAAAGCCTTAGAAGCATCAGTTTCACTAAAAAAAAAAAAAAACCAAAGGCACCCATTGATGAAACTGTATCAACACAGACTGAAAAACAAATGATGCAGCCCATATTAAATCACTAAGCTGGTAGGTGGTCTATGTCTTTAAGTGCTCTGCTTTGAAAGACAGCCCAATAGTTCACACAAACATGAATGCCAAATAACAACAGATAATATCAACCATTAAACAAGGAATCTATTAACAACATACAACCCATAGAGCTGAGAAAAGGATGCTAAAGTAAGTCATAACTTCAGATCATCTACTGAATAGCACTAAATAATTCTCTATGAGATTTTGCTCTCATCAGGATTGACTGTGAAGGGGGGGGGACACAGAGGGAGCGGGAGAGTCCTGGCAGAATCGAGGGAGCTGGCTGCAACAGATGGGGTGGTGGCTAATGGCCTGAATCTGGCTTGAATCTGAACCTGCCCCTGCCCCGCCACCAACCCCCTAGAGAGAGGGCAATCCCTCCTCTGGATGCAACAACAACCAGCAGGGAAATGGGCAAACAGAACTGCGTCTGCAAAGTGTTTGCATCACATTTGAGAACAGTATAATGAAATGCTGATGGAGTTGAAGACATTAGAAGAAGACAGAGCAGTTAAAAACACACCCTGGCCCCTACCTTTGATGGGGGGTTTTTTTTGGGACTTCCTTTAACAAGAGTATTTGTTGTTTAAGGCTTTACTGCAAAACATTATCAGTGGGTGTAACCCAATCCTGGAACAAGCCAGCAGGAATGACACAAACTTTTCAGTTGTGCCTGGCTGCCTGGCCCTAAAGCAGCGCTCCACAACTACACAGGGAAAACTGAATAAAGCTGACATTCACATGGAGAAGAGTCATACAACAAGCCTCTCCCTTTCTCTGTCAGTGGTGTACTCCCTTAAAAAAGAAGTGAAGTGAGTGTATTGTAATCCCAGCCTCTTCCTCATGGCACTATACAATATGCAGTACCGGTACTTCTGTTAAAACCACACAGGTAGTCAAACACTACCGTTTGTTTGTCTTCATGCTCACTTTATTTTGGCAAAGCATTTACGTACATTTGTTTCACCTCAAATTAGATTTCCTCGTTATGAGAGGAGATCTCATCAAACTACCTCCAACACCAATGCAGTTCCTATAGCATTGGGACATCTATGTATATCCCTGTCTTGTGTTGATGTAAAAAAAAAAAAAACAATCTTGATTTTAAACAATTACAGCGTTTCCATAACAACCAACGCTGGTTCAGTTAGCTCAATGAACATTTGGCTAATAACGAATAAATGAAGTAGCTACAGATGGCGTTAAAATGCAAAGCAAAGAGCACGATAAGCAACATGGATCATGGTTTTGGTTTCACGGCAGCATTCACTGTTATAATGAAGCCGGTAGCATTAGCTAACGCTGGCCTTAGCTAATCACAAGCTAACGTGGCTCCCTATCGAACTAGCGTTAGCTCGGTTAGCATTTTAGCCAGCTTGGCTAAGTGTTACATTTGAATAAGCCTTGCTTGAATCATTTAACCCGCGTTACACAATGGCAGCGGTGTTAGTGTTGTTCTAGCTTTGAGTCATTTTCAGCTGAAAGCATCGGGTGTTACCAAACGATGAATTAAAAACAGTTGACGGCCGACTGTCTCCTGGAGGGCTAACAAAAGGTGGACGGCTCATTCAAAAGGCTTTGGCCGTGTTTGAGGCACTCCCTGACAGCTAATATTAACGCTGTCGTGCAGCTAACGTGGAACAAGGGGTTGGTGTATTCAACAGCAGCGACAAAGATCACCAAACAACTTGGACAGTGCGGCGGCGAAAAGAATAGACAGGGCGAAACTTACCATCACTGCGCTTTATCTCCACATAAGTGCCGACGACAATCTTCCCAAACCCCGACGCCATTCTACATTACTTAAACGATGTACAGAAGCAAGACTACAGACTTATTGTGAGCCTGGGCAGTGCAGCTTCTCGTGTTTGTCAGTGTTTGATCAAGGGAGGAAGATGCAGGCAACAGAATGAGCTAGCATTACGTAGCTACCAAGAATAGCATAGTATTTCCGGTCCGGCATTTTTCAAAATAAAATCAGGTAAAAATGTGACCTGTACTCTTTGAGTCCTTGCTTGGATGAAAAGATGAGATGGAAATACGATAAAGGTGACAGGTCGTCTCATGTTTAACTTATCTATCTATCTTATCTATTGCTTTTTTTTTTGGAAGCATTAGATCAGGTAGCCATGTCACTATACCTAATGGCAGGAAATCCAGGTAATTGTGGCTGTCCTACCATGTAAATTCTACTGCATTTGATAGTTTTTGATAGGAAATATGTACAAAGTATGGTACCTATGAATTTGAGCATATTTATGGCACTATTGGTGAAATTACTCAAGTGCACTGAATAAAGACACTTTTACTTTATTGCCTTTAACTGACAGTGACAGCTGAAGAGTGACAGGGCAGGGGGGAGAGAGAGGAGATGACACCCAGCCAGCTCTACCAGGTGAGTGATATGGGTGCCCCAGGGTACTTGTACTTGATTATTTCCAGTTTGTTTACTGTCCAGTTTGTGCTACTTCATGCTTATTCTACACTTTAGATGGACATATAACAACAGGTATTATTACTTTACAGATGTACACTTTACATAAAAATCCTAACCAATAAAATGCATTGTTATATAATAATCTACCCAACAGTGTGTAAAGTAGATAAAATTAGCTCCACTTTTACCAACTGCACAATTCTAAAATTCTGCTTACACATTAACCCACAGTAATCATTAATGCTATAACATAATATATCTTAATATATCACTAATGTTATACCAACACCTATTATCCTGCAGAATTTCAATACTTTAATTACAATTTGCTGATAGCCTTCTATTTGAGAAAATATGAATATGAATGTGGGAATTTCAGTTGTAAAAGATCTGAATCGTTCTTTCATTACTGTGGCACACTTAACACATTAATCCAACTTGTTACAATTGTCACTGTAGTAGATGGATTATGCCACCTGGTGGCATCAAGGCTCTAAAAGTCCACATAAAATGCAACCAAACAGGTTTATGCCTTCCCTCCTCCAATTCAAGGGACAGATTTTTTGTATGTGTGTGTGTGCACGCATAAAGACATCTCAGAAGGAATACAAAAAAAAATCTTATACCACATATTATTCCACTGAGGACTTATGCACATCATATTTTAAAAAGTTTCATTAAATAACAGACATCAGATTGATTATCTTAAGCCAGACATCTACTGACTCATTAAAATACCAAAAGCAGGGCTAACCGAAACCAGAAGCACTTTCACCTGACAACACCCAAACAACACCTGTTGCCTATTTTCATTTTCCATCAGAAAGTAAAAATCTCCACTGAGATGAAATAACTGATACACAGTATCACATACTATCGGTTTGTTCTCTTGGTTTTTTATCTACACCTCAGACACAAACACTCACATCTGAAACCTGGGTGTAGTGGTAAATACAGAAGTAGGTAAACTGACTTTCCCCTCATCTACTAACAGTTGATCCTGAAAATAGATGAGTAAGCTTCCTTTCAAAAAGGTGGATAAATTGAGTTTACTTGGGTTTAATTTGTACTTATGAGGACCCTTAATGCATGTCTTACCCCTGACCCTTACCCTAACCATCACTAAAAAAATGCCCAACTCCAACTCATGGGGATCGAGATCATTCTCTTTCCAGAAGCTACTAGGTTCCTCTGTGGTCCTACAGCTGTCAGCCCCCCCACTGTCTCCATACACACACCCCCCTCTCGTCACTTGGGCAAGAGGCATTTGCTGGTGAGTTCTCAGCTGTCTGTGCCCTAAATAGACCTTATCTGGGGTAGACCATCTCTGAAGGGGTCACTGTCACAGAGTTTATTGAATGGAAAATAACAATTTTATTCATAAAGTCTTGGATAATTCAAAGACACCTGAAGGATATTTGTTGCAACACAAGTAATCATTGTTTACAGTGACCTTTGGTACAAAGTTGTTTTTTGGGGTTTTAGTGTGTTTGGAGTGAACCCCTATGTGTGATGGACGGTCCACCTTGGCTCTGCCCCACCTCATGGTGATCCACTATAAATATAAATTGAAGAGTTGGTGGGGGAAGGTTAAAGAAGAGAAGAAAAGTTTGTAACAAACACTACGGACTGGAGATTCACACCATCTACGCAGGGCAAGACATACAACACACAATCCTAAAGGTACTGTACAGCTTCGACAGAGATGTTTTTTTTAATTTGTGTGACATTTAGCTGAGGGTACTTAGGATAAGAGCGTGGTGGGGGATAGATTGTGCCTATCAGGGGAGCAGGAGGAGATGGTGTCTGTCCATCAGAAAAGTGGCATTTGTTCCAAGGCTCCGACTGGGGTACGAGACCATGCCCAAATAAGGCTTGAGGGGAGGCCATTTAAAGTTAGAGATAGCATGTGCATGACCATTTGCTCCAGGAGACACAGATCAGCAGGACACTGATTAGCAACAACGGTGAGAATAAAGCACTTTCTAATGCTACAGTATTTTAAAATAATATCATTATGCTGACAGATTATAAGTGAATGTAAAATAAGGGTCTGTACTGTCATTGTAATTACAAAAAAGTGTCAAATTGTTCAGCTGATTTAATCTTTAGCTTATTTTTTGTTTGTTTGTGTCCAGAAATCTCTTTATGTGATTGGAATATGTGACTCTGTGTGTTGGTGGCTTTATTACAGTTAAAATACTACATTTGCATTTAATTGATTGATGACACTGAAATTGTTAAATTGTGCTTTGGCTGATACTGTCAGACACAAGAAGTGAAGAAAAATACAACTGTTGACCGTCAATTAGGATTTTTCTTGAAAAATCCAAAGTTTGCAGATTTTATATGTCATAACTGATCCCTCTTTCTACCAGATGGGAGACCCGATCCAATTAAAAGACGAGGGAAACAAACACTTCCAGGCAGGAGACATCGACAAGGCCATTGAGTGCTACACTAGCGCCATCAAAGTGTGCAATGACAAAAAAGTGCTTGCTGTCATTTACAGGAACAGGTCGGCATGCTTCCTAAAAAAGGTAAGCAGTTTGGTAATGCAACACAAAAAATAAAGATAATAATGGATATATAATAATAGATTATATTTTAAATTTCTTCAGTAAAAGTTAGACTTGTATTTTGATGTTTCTGTTTTTCTTACAGGAAAACTATGCCAATGCAGCATCAGATGCATCTAAAGGTAGAGTAATAAACACCAAATACAGAATCAAACCAAACATTAGCAGCAATCACACCAAAAATAGTAAAAACATACCACAAGCTCATTATGCCTCTTTCTTCCTCTTATATAGCGATTGATGTTGATGCAGCAGATATTAAAGCCTTGTACCGGCGTTGCCAAGCTCTGGAGAAGCTAGGAAAACTGGACATGGCTTTCAAGGATGTGCAGAGATGTGCCACCATCGAACCAAAGAACAAGACCTTCCTGGAGACTCTCCGCAGGCTAGGAGCAGACATCCAGGCAAAGGTCAGCACTAAACAGAACAAAACACCCACACACAGAAGTTCACTCAGGACAGTGTTGGACTACACAAACCACTTCACATAAATGCATTCAGCAACAATAAATTAGCACTGCTACATGTAGATCAGTAATGATCTTTTGGCTGAAAATCATAATTAGTTGTTCTTATGTTGTGGTATTAGAAACAAATGTTTTGATACTAAGAGAAATTGACAGATGGACCACAAACGATATGCATGTATATGATTGAAACATGTCAGCATCTGGAAATGATGAAAGCCTAATTTTGATTGTCCGCAGCTCAAGACAACATTCTCCACAGATTCAAGGGTACAAAATATGTTTGACATTCTCCTTGATGATGAAATGGAAAAAGACAAGAGAGAAAAAGTGAGTATTTTCTGACTGTCCTGTTTTTTATTATTTGTTAGGATGTGTATATATACGTAATTGTGGTTTCACTCCTGTTACTTATCCTTTTATTTCTAGGCTGCCAACAACCTGATCGTGCTGTCAAGAGAGGATGCTGGAGCAGAGAGAATCTTCCAGAATAACGGAGTGCCTCTGCTGCTCAACATGATTGAGACAGGCAAACCAGAGATGATCCTGGCTGCTATTCGCACATTGTCAGGAATGTGCACAGGACACAAAGCTCGGGTGAGTATACTCAGTCAAGACAAATGCAAGGAGAAAAACAAAAATGATTCCATTTGAAATATGTTTTTTAATAGTATTTGTATTTAATTTTTCCTCACAAAATGTACTTACTGTATATGTATTTTGACTACCTTAAAACAGGCCATGGCTATTGTTAACATGGTGGGTGTTGATAAGATGTGCAGCATCATGGCCGTTGACAACGAGGAGGTTGCACTGGCAACCTGCAACCTCTTCCAGTGCATCAACGACTCCCTCACTGGTGGAGATAAAAGGGAATATGGGAAAGAAGAAGCCTTGGTTTTAGGTGAGACATTTAGCAAAATATAGATTTCATTATGGACACTTATACAGTATTCAATTGTGAGTGTACGAGGGAAATGGCAGTGCATATGCTGCTGCTGGTACATTGTTTTATGTCATCTGTCCCTCTGCAGATGCGTCTAAAGATCTGAAAACCATTCTTCTCTCTCTGCTGGAGATGGTTGCTAATAAGAAGGTGTCTGGTCATGGCAGAGACCAGGCGCTGAACCTCTTGAGCAAGAATGTACCTCGCAAAAACAAGAAAGATCAAGACCACTCCAGGACCCTCTTCACTATTGACCATGGTGAGCCAGACAGCTGCATCAGATCACTTATTTGGTTTGAGATACAGTCTATTGCTGCATCCCAGACACCCTGAAATGAGATATAAGCATATATGTGTTTGATTTCCAGGTCTAAAGAAGATCCTCAAGGTGTGTGGTCAGGTTTCTGAACTGCCAGACCAGCTGCCCTTGACAGATAACACACAGTTGATTGCCAGCGTGCTCCTCAACAAGCTCTATGACGACCTCAAATGTGACCCAGAGAGAGACAACTTCAGGGACATTTGTGATCAATATATCAAGTACGTCGATAAAATAAAGATTGTTCCTTGGTGTTGCAAAGAGTTTATAAACTGAGACCAACCCAACATAACTTTTTTATTTCCTTTGTCCTTGCCTTCCTTTTTCACAGAGCTAAAATTGACCCCAACGACATGGACAAGACCATTCATGCCATCAACACCATCTCAGGGCTCCTTCAGGGTCCCTTTGATGTCGGTAATGCTCTGGTTGGACATCAAGGTATAATTGAGATGATGGTGGCGCTTTGTGCCTCCGAACGTGAGGTGGACCAGATGGTTGCTGTGGAGGCGCTGATCCATTCCTCCTCCAAGATGAGCCGCGCCAGCTTCATCGTCACCAACGGTGTGTCACTGCTCAAGGACATCTACAAGAAGACCAAGAATGAGAGGATTAAAATACGTGCGCTGGTGGTGAGTGTGCCCAGGAAAGAATGGAAAAAAGATGAGCTTTATTATTCAATGATTCTGGCCACAGCTCACATACAGTAAAGAATAACAACACAACACATTATGAATTGATGAAATGATTTTAGACTATTACAACCTCTAGATTTTGTCTGTGTGGGTATGTGTATGCACACTCATATCCATGTCCTCTCCAGGGTCTCTGTAAACTGGGTTCAGCCGGAGGTGATGATTACAGTTTAAGGCAGTTTGCTGAGGGCTCCACAGAGAAGCTGGCGAAGCAATGCAGAAAGTGAGTATATTCAGATTGTTAAAGATTCTACCAGATTATTCCCCATTATTACAGAAAAAATGGTGGCGTGTAGAAAACATGTAGATAGATAGATATACTTTATTGATCCCAAGCTGGGAAATTGCTGAAGTAGAATGTAGAAATGCTACTATGATACTAGAATCAGTATATTTTAAATGTTATTCACCTAATTTGTTATTATCTAATTTTGATTATGCAAATGTTGTTATTATATATAGGTATACAGTACCACTTCCTCTTAAATGTTCCCTTTTTTACTCTTCTAGGTGGCTTTGCAATCCCCAGATTGATACCAAAACAAGGAATTGGGCTATTGAGGGTCTTGCTTATCTGACTAATGATGCTGATGTGAAAGATGACTTTGTTGAGGATGAGATTGCAATGAAAGCCATGTTCGAACTGGCGAAGGTATGAAAATAACAGGCAGAAAGAAACATACAGTAACCTGGTTAAACATCAGAAATAATCCCTCTCCTTTCTCTGTGTTTTTAGTCTAAGGATAAGACAATCTTATACTCTGTAGCATGCATCCTGGTGAACTGCACAAACAGCTACGAAAAGAAGGAGATCATACCGGAGCTGGTTCAACTAGCCAAGTTCTCCAAGCAACATGTGCCTGAGCAACATCCCAAGGTAATAGAGCAAAAAAAAAACAGTTCTCTCAGACAGCAGACCATAAAACATGAGTTGACATAGGTAGAGCAGAAACTACACATACGCTGTATGCATGCATATAAACACTTTGTATACTTGCTTTTTTCAGGACAAGAAGGACTTTATTGATCAAAGAGTGAAAAGGCTGCTGAAGGCTGGAGTAACGTCTGCTCTTGCTGTCATGGTCAAAGCAGACAGCTCCATACTGACCGACCAGACCAAGGAGCTGCTGTCAAGGTAGGACAGGAATGTTTGTTTTATCAAACATGCCATAGACCCAAACGGAATTGGCAAATAGTTTTTTTATACAGCAGTAACACAAAATCAAAATCTGTGTTATTTAGCAGAATTCTTTTTGCCGGTTAATATCATAGTAAATATTCATTTATTTTTTTAAAAGATTGTTTTTGAGCTAAAACCTAAAAATTACCCCAAGCAGGCTTGTCCACTAATATGCAAGGTTCAGTGTGGAGCAGAGAGAGCGAAAATTTGTTTGTGAAAGAATTAACCATTAATCAGTCATCTCCCAACAATTATCCAAAAACAGAAACATAAATAAAAAAACTGGTGATGTGCTTGACCTCAACTTCACCAACTTCACTCAAGAACCTTACTTACTTTGACATATTTGCACACTGAATCACTAACTGAAAACGACACACAATTGTCTAGCATGTGTACAAAGTAAGTGGAGTCATGTGTTCTGGGGGAACATATGACTCATCACCACCAAACCGCAATAAAATCACCTGAGCTCGACACCAATGCATTTTTTTTCTCACCTTACAGGGAATGATTTTTAAATGTTCCATTAGAAGGGAGGGAATGCAAACTAAAACACAAATGAATACATCCAATTTCTTGTTTATTCCTTAATTGCATTATATTTTCTATTTTTTTATCTTAGGGTTTTCTTGGCATTGTCACAGGATCCCAAAGATCGTGGTATAATTGTAGCGCAGGGTGGGGGAAAGGTGAGTGATACACTTGTAGATGTGTCACTTGTAAAGGAAAGATCTTTTCAAAGATTAACTAGACAAACTGGTTGTTGCAAATTACTGTTGTTTACTACTGATATTCTCTGTCTGCTTTCAGGCTTTGATCCCACTTGCTCTGGAAGGGACTGAGGCTGGAAAGGTGAAGGCCAGCCACGCCCTTGCCAAGATTGCATCTATTTCCAACCCAGAAATTGCATTTCCTGGTGAAAGGGTAAGACATTGGCTGTTTTGTTTATTTCTATAAAGAGCAGTCTTGACGCAGTTTATAAGGGGAGGCAATTGGAAATGTACCGAGGTACCCCATTCTTCCCTTGACTACAGACTCTTCACTGCCTATTTGTCTTTGTCTATCTATATGCTGGGAGATGATGGAGACAATTTATTCAGTGTTTCTGATTGCACTGACTGGTTCCGCTGGTCCAATCTTGTTTGTTCTTCTCTTTTAGAATTCAATATACCTCTGCTGATTTGGTGTTTACTTCATAATAGGACTTTTAAATGAAATCCTCTGTCTTTTTTGTTTAACAGGTGTATGAGGTGGTACGGCCGTTAGTTAGCCTCCTTCAAACCGACAGAGATGGAATGCAGAACTATGAAGCTCTAAGAAGCCTCACCAACTTAGCTGGTTTCAGTGAAAAACTAAGGTAACATCTCAACAACTTGCATGACATATTATGGTCACATTTACTGTAACAGTGACAGTTAATATTTCCTGCAAGTGACTCAATTGCAGCTTGCAGAGCTTATTGTGGTTTTTCCTTTTTTTTTGTAGAGTGAAGATTGTGAAAGAGAAGGCTCTGCCAGAAATTGAGAACTACATGTTTGAGGAGAATGACCAGATCCGACAGGCTGCCACTGAATGCATGTGTAACCTTGTTACATGTAAAGCGGTGAGAACAGACAAGCAGCTAAAACTTCACATAATAGTCATAGTCCTAGTCAACATGTGCATTACATGTCCAACAAGTGTGGCTACATTGAAAATTTCAACTGTGTTTCAGGTCCAAGATCGTTACCTGCAAGATGGCAATGATAAGCTGAAGCTGCTGGTGCTGCTGTGTGGCGAAGATGACGACAATCTTCAGTCGGCTGCAGCTGGAGCTCTGGCCATGCTCACTGCTGCTCATGAGAAGCTCTGTACCAAACTGACAAACGTGGTATGTGCAGCAGCATTCAATAATGTTTGAACTGTGAATATGAATTATAGTGTCACAGAGTCTGTTGTAAAATCATGTGTGTCCCATTATGAAAAATGCTCTCAGGAAAACTTCTACATGCCACATTGGCAAAAACCTGGTTAGCATGTAACACAACATAGCTCTGTGTGATACACATACCAGCCCTTTGTAATGCCTAACTACAGTGCAGCTCACTGCATCTGCTGTTGCCATATCTCTACTGAAAGAGTCACCTTGGTGTGCCACGTGTCACTGTTTGTGCCACGTGTCACTGTTTGTGCCACGTGTCACTGAATGCATTTCACATTTTAATTTATTAATTTGGAAATTATATTTCTAATATTACAAAATCATTACGGCGTTAATCTGTAATACTTACCTTTTGTGAATTTTAAATTGTTACATTACCATTACAGCTCTGATTGGTACTGTAGTGATTTAGTATTGCACTTCCATAAAGTTGTTTAAAAAGAGACTTGTGAGAGACATGGAAATGGAGGCAGCAGACGTTGAGATATCCTGACCTTGAGTCTCTATTGGTCTGCCTTGAAAAACAATGGATGCTGCGCATCCCATTATACAGTTCAATAGCATATTTTTCCCTCTTTGACAGACAAATCCCCATGTCTTTCTCATTCCAAATCCACAACAGGCTCTCTGTTATCACTTAACTGCGGATATTTTTTAGAACATTTGCTGTGCTGCACAATAACACGATCACCCCATCACTGTTCAGAACTACAAGTGTTAAAAAAAATTGATTGTTACTGACTGCGTGACTGATGTTTCTCAACAGACCACCCAGTGGCTTGAGATCCTGCAGAGGTTGTGTATCCACACCAACCCCAGTATACAGCACCGCGGCCTTGTGATTGTCTACAACTTGCTCAACTCAGACAACAGTGAGCTATCCAAGAAGCTGATTGAAAGTGAGATGCTGGAAATCCTCTCAGTGATTGGCAAGGCGGCGGACAATCCCAAGAGGCAGGATGCCATCGATGCAGCTCGCATGTGCCTGGTCAAAGCTATGGATCTTGGTCTCATCAAACCCTTCAGCAGCCCTTCTTAAAATACTGGCAACCAGAAGAACAACAGCAACGGACATTCTTCTTATTTTTCCTCTTTTAATTACAGACTTTTTTCCTGAATGCTTTTTCCACATCAAAGATATTAAAGGATTCAGCAATCTTTTCCAAATCTCTGAAGATAATCTCTCACATTATATATTATAGCCTATAATATGTTTTTTTTACAACATATGGGCAATTTCCCACAATGAAGGATCATGAAATGTATTATTTCCTTTTATGCCAAACTGTGAATGAATGTTTAAAGATTGATTGGTTTACATGTGCTTGTTTATGCTGGACTCCATTGTTGGCATTTTTCTTTCTTTCGGTCTGTTCCTTCTGTCTGTCTAGTTGGTCAGAATAAGGTGTGACCTACAGTATGTTTAGGCCTCTTAGATCTTATGCATCAAGGCTGGAGTTCTGTAGATCCAGTGTTGAATTGTATATTTTTATGCTATTTCTAGTGATTATGTTCTTTCAATTTTCTTAGGAGATTAAACAAAATAATAATAGAAAGTTACTACAGTGATAGGACTAATTCATATACATGTTATAGTTACATTTTTAACTTACAACTACTTTGCCGGACATTTGACCTAAAAAACACAAAACAAAAAGATGCACCCAGTCAGCATGCTTGTGACTGTCACTTATCAATGTGATTAAAATTAGGGAAATGTTAGTGAGTACATATCTCAAATAGCCCCAAACCCCCCGGTTTAAATACAATCATTGGCCACATTCTCAGATGACCCTGGTGGCTGCCACATGCAGCATGTGAGGACATCATAGCAGACGCCTGCAGAGGCTGGATACCATTCCAACAGTGTCTTCCTGCACTCCATTGCAAAGGAAGGTGTTGTTATGTGGATGAAAATCTGACTGCACTGTCATTCTCCAGACAGCGCTACAGGATGGGACAGGAGGGTAAAGTGCTAATCCTAACCATGACTAAGCTGTTTTACAAGGGCTGTTTCCTGTGTTTATATTTCTACTTTGGTGGATTTCAATGCTATGCAGTGCTGTCTAACAAGGTTGTTGTTTTTTTAAATGATCTAATTTAATTTCATGCTTTCCATCATGAGGTTTGACGTAAACATTTAGGCTACTTTTCAGAGATAAACTCTGAATTTGGATATTTGAAAAGGCTTTGGAGCACGTTATAGGATTTTGCAGGCAATGAATACATTGTGTGGTGCTGTTTGAATGAATTGTTTAGAGAAATGCTGTTTGGCAAATGTTATGGATAATTCAAAAAATGTGCCACAGCACCTTTATATACCATGGTCTGGGTGAATACTCGATTCTGATAGGCTGCAGGGTGTCCATTCATTCCTGATGTAGGACACTTAGTTTAAGTCTGTTCTAAATGAATGTGCTGAAATCAATTAAATGAAAACAAAATCTGTACCACTCTGAACTTACTGATACTTTGTGTAAGCCATCATCTCACATCTCATCTGATATTTAACTTTCTACTTCAGGCTGCTGTTATACACATGAAAAACAAAACAAACTAAATAAACAAAAGCAATTTATTCTCGTTGACTTTAAAGAAGCCTTAGATTCAACGTTTGCATGAGAGTCTGCTGTATAAACTGTTATACATATCATATACAACTTACAACTACTTTCCTGGTAATTTGACCTAAAAGACACAAAACAAGAACTTGTACAATATTTGACCCAGTCAGTATTCTTGTGACTGTCAGTGATTGAGTACAGCAGAACGATGACTACACACATACAGTCATTGTTCCCAAAATATCTCAAATAGTGTGCAGAATATGAACAAAATTTGGGAGAACAGTATAGCAAACTCAACCATTAGTATTGTGTATAATTAAATAATTTGCACCTGATTGAAATTATAGCAGATTGTAGGATGATTCTAATTTTAGATAACTGACTTCTTTTTCTTCTTATCTGTTCAATCTTACAGTTAATTGCTTTGGCACATTCATGCAAACGATTATTGTATGTTGTTTCCGACATTATCAATTGCTTATGTCATGTTAATCCAAATGTATTATACTGGTTCTATGTGAGCCCCAGAACATTTAAGCATTAGTTAATTGCATTCAAGTCATTACATGCAAAATGCTTCAACTCGTAATCTGCAAAGCATATTTTTGTCCTGAAGTGATGACTTGCTCTTAAGTGAATCTTGATCTCACAAATGACAGACAGGTATTTCAGAAGGTGAAGAAAGACTCCATTGTAATTCCCCTGGGATCTCTGCCAATTGGTGGTTGGCGGTTACTGCCTAATATAATATAACATTACCACTTTTGTGGTTTTTGATGCTATGAAGTGTTGTCAAACATATCTTCTTTAATTTCATGCTTTCCATCATGAGGTTTGCCATCATCTCACGTCTCATCTGATATTTAACTTCCTACGTCCTACCTACAAACAAAATAAACAAAAGCATATTATTCTTGTTGACTTTAAAGAAACCTTGGATTCATTATTTGCATGAGAGTCTGCTGTATAAACTGTTAAGGGGGAAACTATATGGAATACATATGACAGCATTTAACAACACGTGAAACTCTTGGTTTCTTTTTCACACCACCACCCACAAGTCCGGACGGAAAACACATCCACACACACACAAAACCAATTACGACATTAAGTCTCCTTAGCTTTCGGTGGGAGAGCGACGGTAGCCGCGCTACCAAGTGCAGTATGCCACTGCGAAGACAACGCGAAGAGGAGAAAGCGAGGAAGGACATGAGAGAGATGATGTGAGAAACGAGCAGTATCTGTTATAAACAATGCCATCATGATCTGCCCCACCCCTAACTTCTAAGAATAACGTGAGGTGTGCTGTTTTCTCAGTCAGGTCCCGTTGCTTCAAGCTGTTAACAGGTACCTGAAGAGGATTCTAGTTGGGTGAGTTCATTCAGAATTTACTAGCTACTTACTAAATGTTATACCATTCATTATATCGAAACACATCTCGTCTGTTTGAGTCTAAATACGACCTCGTGTTTACACGCCGAGTGCGAAACTTTCGTTCGTCTCTAAAAGTTTTCGGTGCAGGGTTGGATTAGATGCAGTAAAGCCCAGGGGTGGGGCAGCTCAGCCTGTTCTCCCCCCAGCGTTGCCGTATACATATGTGGACAGACAGTGTGGAAAACAGGCGTGGGAACCTTCAGGGGAGCAAAGAAAGCTTTTCAGGCAAAAAGAGAAAGATGGTGACAGCAGCAGCAGCAGCAGCGAGCTTTTAACAGCAGGTAAAACTCTCGTTGCTTCTTCTTCCTCACATCGGACAAGTCCGGACAAGTTTGATTTTTCTCCAATTGTAGCACGTTTCAAAATATTTACGACCCTAAGTCAACAATGTTTAATCACCGAGTCCTTAACTTTTCGGAACACTGTGAGAGCGACCGCACATAGATGGGAAACAGCTCAGCGTCTTCTAACCGCAGTGCCAAGTGGAAGATGGGGGGAGATAGATAGAGAGAGAGAGAGAGAATGGTGCGGAGGAATGTGCAAGATTCCGAGCAGAGGTTCAGTTATCAGGTACCTGAAGAGGTTTCTAGTTGGGTGAGTTTATTCATAACTTACTACTTACTAAACATTCATTATATAGAAACACATCTCGTCTGTTTAAATGTAGGCACAGGCAGATTTGAAAACCCTACTGACACAGCTACATAGAGATATGAATGAATGAGAGGGATGCAGGCAGCGAAACCAAAATCCAAGCAAACGGTCGCTTGTTACGGAAGTCAGACTTATATGATACATACAGTGAAACAATGATGGTTAGCGTTTATTCGGAGAGTTTTGTCACTTTGAAATGAAAGTACAATGATACGCATTTAATAGGCTTTCAAGAGAACGTTTAAGGAGGAAGGGCAAGATGACAGCCGGTATCCTGATTCAGCGGTGCTGTTGAATTGCATTATGTTATACTGACTGATGTTTCTTCTTTTTTTTTTATTATAGTGTGTTATTTTGTCCAACCTGTTTATTTCAGTATAAGCTTAAAGACCACAAACATCCATTTACTTCCATGTATATGCAATACAGTACATTCTTCTAAAATTAAAAACTGATTCTAACTTTCATTAATGACTAATAAGGGAGAGTTTATTGCAGGGGTTGTTTGTTGTATTAGACTGTATTCGTTTTAGCCAGGGCTTCTTAATAATAGGTAATCAAGTGTTTTTCCACAAGCAGTGCAATTGTCCAGTATTGACATGTACAACAGTAACAGTAAATACCATATCCCAAATGGACAGAAGTTCCAGTCCCAGCGTTTGCCCTCTCTCACTTCACTATTGTGGTTACATGAATCATTCAGTAAAAAAGCAATTTGTTTGTGTCACTGGGGTTGGTAGCATAGCTTTAGTGGAGATGACTTTCTGTGCATACTGCAGCAGACGATAAGGAAAAGATTTTTACACGACTACTCAGAAGAAGACTGATTGGTGAATTTTAGTGTGAAACACTATAGCCTATCTTGTTAAGATGTATATACGCAGTAAAAAATAGATTAACAATATTGACATATTATATTACATACATTTTGTGTCAGCCTCCAGGTGTTGCGGCAGGTGAAAAGTCAAGTGAATGTGTGAAATGAAATGTACAGTAGTTGTGGTTTTGAGGGTGGTTCATAAATTGAATCTCATCCTTTCTTCTTTCGATAGGAGAGCGTCAGCACGCAGAGTGCAGACAGCTTAGCTTGGTTTTATATGGGGTACAAGCTACAATATGTTTGTGTCAAGGTGACTGTGGTTAGCTTGGGGAAGTTCCAACAATGATGGCTACAAAATCCAAGTTCATGTGGGGATATAGAGGAAATATTTGAACAATATGTGAATATTTTAGCTTTAATAGAGTTATTGAAGGTGGGAAAAAGTGTTGCACACTCAACACTCCATAGGCATCTGATTTTTATTCAAATTCTGACATTTCGGCCCTATGGCCTTCTTCAAGATAAACAATCATACATAGACACTGGTATCCACACATTAGACAATCATGTTTAACCATTAGGGTGAGAAAAAAATACAGAGACTAGGCCTGTGCAATTAAATAATAGTAATGTGTCGGCAATAGACACTTCTTCAATAGTAGAATCGATGGTCTCAGTTAAATGCAATGAATGCTATGAATGTTGAAACCGCCGACTTTATCTAAATATTAAATATTATAAATATCATAAGTAGAGCTGATGAAGGTGAGGCAGGCTAAGTAAAAAACGAGTGGTAATGACTGAGTGACAGTAGTGTAACATTATGTGTCTGATGGGAAAATACCTCAACAGGAAGTGTGGGGGAACAGTATATACTGGTAACACAGTCAGCAGTGGACGGACTACAGCAAGACTGTGTTTACTGATGCAGAAAACCATCTCAGCACTGATCTCTAAGATGAATGGTAGGTGTCTGATAATTTCCTAACTTTCAACCGAGCTCATTGTCAACCTTCATAGAGCATTCAGTTTAGTTTGTATTGTTTTGACAGTGGTGATCATCATCATCATCATCCTTCTGTCGCTGCTTCCTCTCACTCAGTGCTTTCCAGTCACAGCAGGTATGTCTTTTCTTGTTTACACCACTCTCATGATACACATTTCTTTGCGTGATATGTTTCTTAGATATACTGTATGATATTTCAGGTGTAAGGAGATCTGTGCAGGTGTTTTACTGCAAGATTCCAAGATGTGCTGCTAATGTGACAGACGTATTTTGCAACGACAAGCCTGTCTTCAGTAACAACAACATTGCAGAGTGTGCAGGCCCTCCACCACCCAATACTGTCTGCCAGCAGGACAGTCGGGCATTCGTTTCCACAGATACAGCTGGTCTCTGCGACTTCGAAGGGAGAGCCGGTTATATTGAGACCAAAAAATGTACAGGTATTCACTTTTGCTTTCTTAAAGCCCTTAATGTATAGCACATTGTGATTTCTTTGCATTCATTCACACTATTCTTAGAACAACAGGTTTCACAGATTTAGTGTATTTACTTGCATATTAGTATCATGTTATGATATTATGTTATGATGTGGTTTTGGGAGATTTTGGATGGAGATGAGTGTATTGTGTACAGACCACTTCTGGTAAGACAGAGAAGCCAAATCAAGCAGAATGGTAAATGCAGCAGAGCCCAGAAAACCAGTTCCCTGTTTTATAGGCATGTCATGGTGCCAAATTAGATTGATTTATATGTATTCTTATTTAAACGTGAGCATTCAATAAGTGGGCTTACTGAGTAAAAATACAGAAAAGACGTAAAGCTTATTCTGTTAGTGCCACTGCTCAGACCTCAGTACTGTTCTTCTATTTCTGCATGTCAGGATTGCTCCAGCTGAGGGTGCTGTTTGTTAATAATTTAGTATCGGGAGATACATTTAATCACTTTACTGCAAAAATCCACCACCCACATTTTAGCTTTTTGAATTTCTTTGCTCTCAGTTTGTGCTGACTTGAAAAAATTGTACTCTTCAGAAGAAGCTGTACTAAACACACTTAATCTCAAACAAAATTCTAGGTTTAAATGTATTTGTTATATTATTATTATTATTATTATTATTATTATTATTTTCTTAAATCAATAGTCACATTGTATAAAATGATAATATATCTGTCCTTCCTTCATTTCTTTTTCTGATGCCATTCTGTCTAATAACCCGTTGTAACACTTCTCTTGTTTTCCCAACTAGACGACAGTGACATTTGTCGTTTTATCAGCGGTGAGCCTTTAATTCAGATACATACATTACTTCATGCTGCTCGCTGTTGTGGTTGACCAGTTTTGACTGGAAGTTTTTCGTCTTTCCACCAGCTACTACACCATCACCAGACAAGGACCACGCAACACCTGGATACATTGTTGGAGTAGTTGTTGGAGTAGCTGTAGTTGGTAAGTTCTGAACACCAGTGAATCTGATACTTTGTCTCCCAATGTCATATTTCTTCTGATCCTGGACAAGCAGTGTTGGAATGTAACTAAGTATATTTACTCAAGTACTTATGCGCTTGTACTTTTCCTCTCATGCTACTTCATGTTTATAATTTACTACATTTCTGAGAGAAATACTGTGCTTTCTAATCCACTGCAATTATTTGACAGCTTTAGTTACTTTACGATTTAGGATTCATTTTTACGCACACAAAATAACAAGTCTAGAAATAATGCTTTTTGCCACTAACCTGACTTGCTTTTACTCTGCCAACCTCTGTCTTCTTGCTTTTGCTCAGGGCTTTCAAATGTTGACAATCAGGTGAGATCAACATTTTATGATGTGTTGCATTTATTGCGTATCGATTCAATTACCTGAAATATCCATCTCTTCATTCCACAGGTGGTTTAATCCTGCTAATTGTAGGCATATCTTGGTATTTCTGTAAAAAGGGAAAAGGAAAAAGAAAACAGAGGGCGACAGGGTAATCAAAATATATCAATGTTATTCACAAAGTTCTTTATTCAGATTATTAGTTATTGTGATATCATGTTACCAACATGTCGTCATGTTTTATGTGAATTTGTTTCAGTGATTCGGGTGGGACTGTACCCCTAAATGGTGGTCCTGGATTGGATGATGGCAGATCAATGTGATGGTGAAGCTTCAGACTCCTGTATTTTCACGATTCCTGTAGCTTCACAAACTTTTTTTTTCAAATGTTTTTATTGTGAGCTATGTACATCACTTATACAGAGTTTTGTTGAGTGGATATCATGCCTCATTTAAAAAAAATATTAGAAGAGGAAAATAAAGAGGCAAAACAAGAATACCAACAAATGAAAAACTATACAACAAACAAACATGTACAATACCACTGAACACACAGATCAGGTAGCTTAACTAATATAAAGTTCCTCTCCACTCAAAAATATGTTTTTGTTGTTGTTCCTACTGTTGAATGTTTGTGCTCCACTGTGCAGAAGGATGTTTGTGCAGAGTTTGACAGGAGAAGTACGTTTTCACAATCATATGCTGAAAGTGGAAAGTTTCTCTGAGCTCATTGAAAATCTGATTTTTAAGGCGTTATTTTGATACCACAAATAAACAACAAACAACAAAACGTAAATCCTGGTCCATATTCTACAAGTGCACATACACTGAGGATGGACAGTGAAGTTGGAAAGCAGCAGCAAAACTGAATATGCATAACATACAAAATTTGCATATTCATAGATTCTGGACTTTTTAATGAGGTAGAAGGAGTATTTTAATATGGACTTTTTATGCAGAAAAATTATTATACACATTATTGTTTCAAGGAGACTATATGTATATATGACTTAATGTCTGAAGGGGATCTTTAAGTATGAAACAGGCTACTTGTTCTAGGCTACATGCCTCCTTACTGTTTATTATTATCACTGGGATGCCAAAACTCTCATATTATACAACCAGCAAATAAGGTTTAATAAAATAAAGATTTCTACTAATGCAGTTGGAAGGCATAACAGATAATATTGTCACAGTAATTTGAGGTAATGAAATTAAATAAATCTTTATTGTTGCTGAAGTCTTCTTTAGCCTGTTCCTGTTCTGACCTGCAGAGGGCATGCTGGAGTCACTGTTTTTGTATCCAGGGGTTCACTGAATGGCATGGTTGTATGTAAAGAGGCAGGGCAGGAACAGAGAGACACACAGGGTTTCTTCTTGCTGCTCTCAGTAGAGGAGAGACTCCAGTTGTACACAGTCGGTCTGTGGTGGAAATACTGCGTATATTTCTCTTAACCGCATTTATTTAGCTGTTGGGGATCGGCTGCTTGAGGAGAGGGCTTTCTGTGAGGACTGCAGCAGACACTGAGGAAAAGATTTTTACACCACCACTCAGAAGGAGACGATTGGCTGGTAAGGATTCTGTGAGTTGTGTCTTGTGCGAAACACTATAGCCTGTCTTATTTAGATGTATATACGCAGTAAAAAATAGATGAACAATATTGACATATTATCTTCAATACATTACGTTTCGTGTTTCAAAGTGTCAGCCCCCAGGTGTTGCGGCAGGTGAAAAATCGCAGGTGCGCTTCAACTGTTTCTGCTCGCATATAAAGGTGTTATGTGGTATTATGGGTATATGTTTCTGTTCTCCCCATTGGCTCATTTAAATGACAAACTCAAGTGAAGGCGTGAAATTAAATGTAGTTGTGGTTGCGAGGGTGGTTCATTTGAATCTCATCCTTTAATTCCACGTAAATGAAATTATTGTTCTAATTGTTGGGATAAAGGCTCGTACAACCATCCTCAGAGTGTCACTAGTGTTTGCCATATCAACATCTACTTTTTGCTGCTCTTATGAATGGGGAAGTTTGTTGTTTATGTGTCTGCAAGTCTGTCTTTCACTTTTAGTGAGAAACTAAGAAGTCTGTCTAGTTTGATAGGAAATGAGGCAAACATGTTGAAGGTTGTGTAACACGTTAGGGGGCAGAGGAAGAAAGTCATTGTTTCAAAACATGTTAATAATGGAAGCCTGACCTTAGAATAATGTTAAGATATCTTCATGTCTAGATATTGCTGTTAATACCTGGCAGAAACTGGCTCAGTTTAACCTTTTGGAAGCCAAGTTACTGAGAAACTAACATGTGTGCTGTAAACAGCTGCTGAATCCCTTTGGCACAACATGTGCTGTAGGTCAGGTGATAGATTTTCTGTCATTACAAACATATTATGTGTGTATATTATTAGATACTGCACAGGACCAACCTTCCATTTAGTGGTGTGAGCCTGAATACCTTTCACATTATCACCGCTCTTTACAGTGAAGTGCTACATTTCTCCTCCTGGTAATTGGCAGCCAGGCTGTGACTGTGAAGTAGCTTCACCAGTCCAAAAAGAAAAAGAGATAAGAGATTGAGGGCTGACAAGTGAGCAGTGAAGCTGTTTTAGAAAACAGTGTCCAGTGAATGATCTGGACTTAATCAGTATCACTCAGTGCAGTTCAGCTGTTGAGCTTAAAACTACTTAATTTTATTCTAAAGTTTCAGGAAGACGTTTGCTTTGTCACAATGAAGGATGAAAACTTTTGGCATGTTATGATTTTATCTCTGTTGTGAGAGGGGATCTTGAACAACTTGAAAGATACATGTTTCCTATTAGAAATGACTCAGGTTTTTTGTTATTCACATTTTTCTTCAATTGCTACACCATTTCACTTGAACATATTTGGTCACAGGGCATCCTGGTTGTTCAGCTGGCTGAAGAATGAGTTGTATCTGCTTTGTCCTGGGCCTGATTTAATGTTATATTCATGTATCTGCATTGTAAAGTGGCTAATAAAACAACATATATTAAAAACTACCTTGGGATTGTTCCTTGAAACATTGGAAACATTGGACACATTGAACATTGCATTGGATCAAAGTGTGACCTACTGATTATTGAAAAATAAATAATAATCATACAAACTGACTGATTTCAAGCCGGCTTTAGGACAAGGTGTTACACAAGGCTATGAACCTGTTTTTTTCTTTATGAACTTCCTGTTTATTCCTTATTTGACTGTGAGGCAGTGGAATTGGTCCAGCTTGGGCCAGGTTGGTCAGCTTGCCGCAGAGGATGTTTGAAAGGGAAAACAGCTCATGCAAATCCCCTGCTCTCTCCTTGGGAATAACACCTGAGCTCCTGTGCTGTTCTGCCTGCTGCCCTTGCACTGATATGTTGCTTGTCAGAGTGAGCAGCATCTGTGCATTATGTAATATTTTCCATCTGAGTAGCAGCAGAAGTGCCACATCACTGTAGAGCCACAAATCATATCCTCTTCTTGGACTTTTACTCGAGAGGATCTTAAATTTGTGATTAAATTGTAATACTGACAGTAACTGTCAATAATCAATAACACTGTTTGAAAGCAGAGGGCTACCAATAAGCATAAAATAGATTATCTTTCTCATGTTCTATGAGCTTCATGTGAAGAGGTAGCACAGCAATTAACTGTTCTTCTGGTTCTTAGTACAGTCTTGTGATTTGGGGTCAAAGAGCACTCAGTACTGTACCATGGATCCCAGTAGTGATAGGACCAAAATAAAAGGCATATGAGGCTCATTAAGACAGTTACATAAGTCAGTACCCTGAACAGTAGTTCTCAGCTTTCTCTCTCATTCCTGATAATGGTCTGACTGACCGATGTGCCTTGTGTCCGCACACAGGGGTGTGGCCCCATGTTGGATCACATTCAAGATGTTCTGATAAAAAAATGCCTCACTGTGTTGTGATAATGAAATCCAGCACCTCGTAATGTTTGTGTGTGTTTAGTGTGACCTCTCTTCCTCCAACACCCACTCTAATTCTTCCCTCAGAGGATTCTCTCGCGCTCTTGTCTACAGTGTTATACTCTGGGTCGATGCGCTAATGTGCCACGTCCCAGTTGCATTGAGTTGAAAGCATGAGGGTTTGTTTTCTCTCCTGAGTTCTTCTTCTCAGGTTATTCAGTGCCATGCCATTCTTGTCAGTTGCGGCTACCTTTAATCAGATCCCTTTAGTGAAGCAGCAGAGCAAGACAGTGCATTTGATTGTATATGAGATTTGAGATTATTAGTTTTTTTCATGTATCTTGAAAATAAAACAAAATGTGGCATCCATAAGTCTGAGGGCTACATTTCTGCAGTGGATATTATTGGAGTTATTCATTTTTAGTTTACTGTGATTGACTTTGTCACAGTTGTGGGATGTCCTACGTTATATAACTTTTGAAGTTTCTGATGTGTTAATGAGTGTACTGCTGCTTGGCCATTTCCCTTGTAAGGCCCCAAGCCTTTAGGGACTGCTACTAATGATTACTTCTTTATCCGTTAATCTAGTACTGTTTTGATTAATCAATTACTAAATTTGTCATTTAGCCTATCGAATGTCAAACCAGCAACCAAATAACCAAAAGAATTAAATTCACACTAAAGAAATTAAAAAGAAAGCATCTTTTTAGTACAGTCGGACTACACTGGATTTTTGAGGCAGATACTGATATAAGAGTCTAACAAATCGGATTTTTTAACATAATCACACAACATAGACATTTTTGATTAAATAATAGAGTTTAAAGATAATGATGGAAAAACTAATGGGTACATTTTCTATATGATTTCATCTATAACTCTGGCATTTATGTACTGCAATCGCCATTTATGTACTCAATCAGCAACACATACACCGATAAATCTGGGATAGTACTAAAATAGGCAGATATAATAGCTATCTGAAATTATTGTTCAGAATCTGCATTGATGAAGCATACACTAGCATGTTTTTTGTTTGTATAAGATAAATAAAATGAGTCATTACTCATCAAAAATTTGAATTTATTGTCAATAACCTAACAGATCATTTGACTAATTGCATCAGTGCAGAATCACAGAAAGAGAGGCACTTTTTGCATGGCCAGTATGAATCAGAGCACTGATGAATAAGAAGGTGCTTTGTGGCATAAAACCTAGACAGGTCAGTGGGCAGTTTGACCCACATACTCTATTGATCAGATGAGGTTTAGCCTCCGCACCTCTGTTCAGCTGTGTTGCACCTCTACCTAAGCACATCGTGGGCTGCTCCCTCTCTGTTATCTGTTTTATTGTCCTCATTCATTGGCCAGCCTGCACTCATGTCAGCACATACCACATAGTCACCAGGACTTCATAATCAACTGTCTTTTATTATCAGTACTGTGATCAATGCTAGACCATATAAAATCTAATAGAAATGGAACCAACATACACCAGTTGTAAAAAGTAGGAAATCATCCCCTTAGTTTTTCATTAAATGATTAAGAGTACAAGTACTATGTAGGGGCAATCATGTAATAACTCTTCACAAATTTGGTAATTCTGCAAAAAATTCAGTAATGAAAAGGCTTCAAAGCTTTAAAATGAAAAAAGAAAACTGGTTCAGTGATAGATTATACAAAGTATATTCTTTTAATTTTAAATCCTTGAAAAGGCCTGTTTATAGCTCAGCTTTTCTTGGTAGACTTTGAGTCAGGGATCCTATTATATTAGTATTATATTGCCATATACTGCCAGTGTTTTCAGAATTGCTCATGCGGAAGGCGAAAAAAGTCAAGTGAATAATATGAGGGCACTTTTTTCACTC